CTCAGGCCTCTCTCCAGAGTCGAAAAACCCAAAAGCAGACGACTTTCTTTGGAGGCTGTCCGGCATCGAAATAAGTCGGCGAAGTCACCCAAGGGCAGGAATGCAGGAGGATATCTCGAAAACGAGCACTCAAGTTCGCGAACCGCTCCAGTGCCCAGCGAAAAAGTTCTAAAAATCCCGGCTGAAAGCAAACAAAACCTGCAGAAGAGCGAGCGAATCTCAGCAAATCTGCAGACAGTCGATGCTGGCCTCGGAAGAAGACAGAAGGTCGAGGTAGCATGCACAAGTTTTAGAAGCACGCTGCTCGAAGTAGCACGGCTAGGGAACCCCTTGACTTATTCGCAGGTGCTTCTGAATGGAAACATAGTAACAGGGACTGGCAGTCACAGCTGAGTTCCATGCAGGATCGTGCCCCATCTGAAGATTGTCAGCTTGCTGTTGCTGCAAGTCGGTATACGGTACACCGATCCACTGATGTGCGAGGCTCTCTGCTGAAACACAACTTACCCTTCCGAAACACTGGCGAAGCTTCAAGGCTATTGTTTTCATGCTCAAGCATCAAGCCCCAATCAAGTTGCATCAATTGGTTGTTGGTTGCCTGAGACAGCTTGTAGTCCATGTAGAGGAGGTCTGGATCCAAATTCACGCCTGTTACCTCCTTGTACTCGTTGGCGAAGCACTTCACCCTTGCGGCGGAAAACAACTTTTGAGCGCACATGATTTCTCTTTGCCAAAGTTCAAACTCCGACAACTCATGAACCATGCATGAACAGTTCCCAGGCGCAGTTTTTGCTCGTGCTCGTCCATGAAGTCGGGTTCCGCACCGAGCCAGCTGCCGGCGAGGATGGTCGGAATCGGCATTCCCACCTCCCAGCTTTCAGGGACATTTTCCAGGGTTGAAGATGCATTTTTCATCAAGCATCGCACAGGGAATTCTACAACATGTGGATCCAAGCTCAAAAAGCTCGACTGAAGTACCTTCGACGAGAGCTTGATGTCTTCAGTATTTAGCCACCAAGATTTCATTCCACATGCATCTTGACAGTACCAAGTCCCAACAAACAGACGTGCAAGCTGAGATTGACAAGCATTGCGACACACAGCATGACTTGCAGTGTTCGCCCGCCATCGCGCCACCCCAATCCTTGGACAGAGATGCATGGCGAGCCATGAAACCCGATGCATAAATCTTCGCACCAGAATGCCCTAAATGTATCGTCGAACAGTCGTTGCTCCCTGCGGCGTCTCGAGCACCTTGTGTTCCATTTACAGTTGACACCTGGACAGGCGGCTTCCTACAGTCAGTTACAGTTACGTACACCGCCATATGCAACTGACCCACGAATGCTGAAGCGCTTCAGCGGATCCAGGGCACACGTTGTGCCTTCTTCATGCTTTAAATTCCTTTGCTATTCCCTGGTACGCACACACACTCACACACCACAGAGCCGCCCACCGAGGTGAAGCTGCGTGGCAATTACGACTGAGACTCTATGAGGCCACACTCCATGATGCCGTTGCCATCTCTCCAGAAAATGGCGTTGTCGATCTGCGCATTGGGATGGGCCAGCGTGTAGTACTCCGGGATCATCTGCCTAGGCCACGCAAGCACCAACCTCTCTCTGCAAAGAACCACGAAAGCCCCATCCACAGCCTTCATGACCAGGTGAAGTCACGCCTTTTTGAAAGCTATGTTCCTGACACTCAACCATCGACGAGTTCTCAATCCTGAAAATACCACAGCAAGACAATCTGAACGTGAATCATGACAAGATCGGACATCCCAAGCTGCATTCTCAACTCCCGAGCCGGAGTAAGAGCACGCAAAGATAGCGCCTAACAGCTTGAGGCATTTACTTAGCAATCCCGGTCACATGTAGAAGGCGATCTCCTGCGAGTGTTTTGCTATCTCTTTCGCCTGGCAACAGCCGCATGCTTCGACCCAGATCAGGGTGGAGGATGAAGAGTTGGGTGCAGCAGTGCCTACCTGGAAAGTAGCACACACTGGCACAGCTCTCGAGCTGGCCGGCGCCTCATTGAGAGCCTTCTTCAACGTGGCTTCCTCTACCAGCTTCTTCGGGAAGCAGTGCGTCGCAACGTTCCTCCGGGCATGATGCCATGGAAGGTGCTGCAGGGCAGGCCATGTAGAACTGTTTGCCCTTGACTCTCGGGTTATCTAGCTGCCGAGCTGCTTCACTTCCTACAGTACTGCTTCCTCCACAACGGCAGCAAGGAAAGCCCCATTCGTTCATATCCCCGTTGAAACTTCATGCTACCCCCACTACCGACTTTTCGAAAACTAAGCGCTGGAGTCTTCACCATACTTTGGACATTATAATTCTGTGGTCGTGAATGTGTTTTTGTAAGTGTTCTTTGTACGCCGTTCTCCTGCAATTATCCTTGTTCAGTTCCACAGCGCTTTTTGCGGCTGTCTTGCAACGTCACGCCAGGACAGCTGTCTCTTTCCACGCTGCCTGCGTGACTGCATGACTGCAGAAGCTGCAAGGGAAACGTTTGAGGCGAAAGAACGCAAAGTTCCACAGCCCTGGGCCCTAAATGTTCACCAAACTGCTGACCCCTAAGCACAGAGCTCTGCCTGATGAAAGACTCAGCCATGGCTAGGAAGGACTCGGCAGCCGCAGGCGCCAGTCCCAGACCTGGTCCCGACTAATGCGTTGAGGGACTGCACGTCGAGCTAGGACTAATTAGTCTCCTCCCTGACTGCACCTAACGAAACGGGAAAAGTCTCACAACTCAGACGGTCCAGGCGAGGCTGGCAAACAGACCTCTGCACGCCCCTTTTCTCTCAGGTCCTCTGTCAAACTCGTTGCCTAGAACGAGCCGCGAGGTGCAGGTGCGGCAAATTAACAATACACCAAGATTGCCCCCGTCCAAACTCTCTCGGCAACGGGGTGCTCAATGTGCATCAAGCCATCGAGCTTGGTGCTGCCGGACCTTACGCCTTAAAGATCCTGCGCCGAAAAGCCCTAAGGATCCAAAGCCCCAAATCTCAGCCGTAAGCCTAAACCCTGTGAACCCTGAACGAGGGCTCGCCTCGATCTAATTTGTGTTTGTCGTGTGCACATTGGTCTGTACAACGGGGGAATCCGAGATCCTGTCACTCAGGCCATCTTTACAAAGGCCTTGAGATTTCCTGGCCTCTCGGATACTAGGAAGGCAAAGTCTCATCTGAAGTGGCAAGATGGGGCCGTAACCTGTGAAGTGTGCAGTTGAGCGACCTTGCCACCTCAACCTCGCAGGTTCTGAACAAATCGAGCTCTAATTACTGCTCTGACCCTGTCCCTCACACAAGTGCAAGAGGGGACGATCTCGCAACTCGGGCCCTGTGCTCGAGCAGGCGTCGCTTGCAGGCGTGCTTGCCTGCGGAAAGCTGGAGTTCTCAAGCTTCCCATGTAGCCTCAGATTCCAATTGAGCGACTGCGAACATGTCCTCTTCAGCAGAGGAACTTCAGGAATCTCAGGCCTGAATGGGAGCAGACATTGCAGCGGCCTGATTACAGCCTTGGCCGCCCACGAATCGGGCACAGACCAGGACTGGGTTCAGCACGAAGACGTCACCTACCAAGGTGTAAAGAAGAGACGTGCTCAAGACAATCGCTGTCAGCACCGGGTACCATGAGTTGTGCGTCCAGTCCTGCTTACGTGCCTGAGCGTGGCCCTTCTGAGCCGGGAGCAATCGCAGCAGGAAGAGCGGAAAAATGCAGAAGCCGTATGTCAGGACGTAAGATAAACCCACGGTCCAGCGGAACGAGGACGCATCCTCCACGAAATTGTCTCGCTCCGCAAGCGCTGGCTGGAACAACCCAAAGAGCTGGTTCCCTAGGAGCAAGCCCATCGGATTTGCCACGTTGCTGATGGTCACGAAGAGCCCAGCCAGCACACCACAGTTGGTACTGTCGGCCAGCTCGTTCACCATGAAGCTGCAAACAAGAACAGCCATGGCTTCGGGCACGGCACTGACGATAGACTCACCAAGGTAGAAGTACTGGTCCCGCACGACTCCAAAGATGGTGAGAAACGTCGGCACGGCATCCAAAGTTGTGCCAGTGACTGTGGCGACCACTATGATCTTTCGCCAGCTGACATTCAGCATGTATTTCTGCAAAAGCCAGCTGCCAAGCAAAGCCGCGAAGACTCCAAGCAAGGAGCACAACTGCATTTGCAAGCTCTTCACACCGGCCCACTCCATCATGACCCAGAAACTCGCTGTGGTGAACACTTGCGCCACAACACCCCTCACGAAGAAGAAGAGAGCAACGGCAGCCACGGCTTTGCTCTCAAAGAGGTTCCAGGCAAGCATGCAATACTTCCGCATCGAGACATCTCCGTCGGCTGGTCCCTCGTTAACGTGGCGAATGCAGGACAGGCCCGCAATCATGGACACCACAGCGAAAACGAGGACATACTGGCTGAAGCCGAGCTGGCGGCGCTGATCCCATGTGCCGTTGAACAGTCGACCGTTAAAGCCGAAACCGGCCAACAGCAGGGATGAGAATGTCCCGAGCAAGCTGACCATCTCAAGCATCGTCTGCGTTCGACCTCGGCTCTCTGCCTCTTCAGCCTTAGCATACTCGACCATCAGCCCACGCCCTGCAGATCCACTCACCAATAGGCCGACGCTCGCGGAGAAGAGACAGATCATCAAGGGCACGTAGTACTGGTCGGCATCTGGATTGCAAGGCTCGCGATCACGAAGATAGTTGCCATCCGGCCCCACACAGAAGTAAGGCTCAGGAAGCCCCATGCAAGCCATAGTCGAGTACGCGGTTGTGCTTATGAGCCATCCCAATACCATGTAGGGCCTGCGGCGGTATCCGAAGATCGGGCGAGAGTCCGACAGGATACCCATGAGGACAGCGAAGACATTAGGAAGCGAGCACATGTTCTGCAGACCTCGGATGATGTCGCTGGAGACATTGAGATAGCCCGCAACCACTCCCACGAGGAAGGCATTGAAGCCTCCAGATACGAAGCCCAAACACCAGCAATGAAGAATGATGCCCCAATTCCCACGATCATGGAAGTCCAAAGCAAAGGGAGTGACAGTGTCGGCCTTCAGTGAACCTTTCTCCATGACGTCCACGACGATTCTACACGGGTCCTGACTTTTCACTGTCTTCACACGCTCCTCAATGCGGGCGGTGTCCGTCGCCATGGCTTGTAACTAGGCAGGCACACTATACTGGAACCCGAGCCGCTGCCAATTGCGATGTCGAGGAGGGGAGGGAGGAGCCCAATACGACTAGAAACACGATGCTCGTGAGTTTGGCCATTCAGCTCAACTCTGAGTCAGCTGCTGTTGCCAGCAAAGTGCCGCCGCAAGAGACGTTCTACTTGCATGTTCGTCGCGTCGGGCTTGCTGCAAGAAGAACGACAACGACATTACTGCCGCCACAACACTTTCCACAACGGGCGCCATCTTCGGGTCAGCCAGACCTGGGAATAGGGGAGCACGGAGCTTGCCTAGTGGCTTACCGAAGGAACCCTAGCTTGCACAATCATAGGAGAGCGAGCCGAAACTGTCAGCGGGATCTGGATGTTTCATCTGGCTTCGGCTTACACCTCAAGCAAGAAGTGCATGCAGGAAAGTTGCAAAACTTCCAAAGTGCTTTCTGTCCCCTTTCTGCGCCAAGACTCACTTGACATAGAAGGCATCCCTCGCTTTTGGATTCAGTGGCCGCACTCGGTCGAAAATCTCCTGAGCAACCCAAGGCTCGCAAAAAGCTGGAACGCACGCTTACAGTACAGGATGAGCTGATCGACCTCCGAGCGAGGACTGAAGCGGTCTCAACTCTTGGCTCTCTAAAATCAGCGCATTGGTTTAGATGTGCCATGCGACTCTGCTGCTAAATGCTTTTGTCTGAGTTGATGCGCAACCCAAGAAGCCCAACTATGGACGACTTAGCGTGCACAATTTCGGAATGAGACCTCATGAAACGGCAGGAAATTAGAGCCACGTGGCATGCATGGTCTTCATCGCCGCTGGATGCCCGAAACACTCCGCAACTTGATTGGTAGTCTGGTTGGTGTGGTAGAACCTGGCAGTTGGGAAACGATTTCCGACTGTAACAGAGGAGTACCTCGGCTGTTCTTTCATCAAGCTCTCCAGGATCCTTCCACGCTTGGGCGGTCCGTGAGTGCATCTACTACTAGTAGAACCACATACACTTACTGTCGAGATGTCTAATCCGCAGCCCACCAGCTTGTTTTGTTGGACTATTGGGGTAGGACCCTTAACGGGCTACGGGCTTTATTTTCCATAGCACCTTCAACCCTTGTCTCCCGTACTTACTTCGGACCACGGGAGATAACCATGCGGCGCCATGCTACAGCTGAATCACGTGATAGTCCGCGCTGGCTGTTGCTCCACGAAAACTGAGCACCCACTTGGAGCTAAACCTGTTACTCTGCTATGGACATCAACGTCAAAAAAGCACGTCATGAGCAACGTATAGCTGTGCACAGTCGCTGCGATCATCCCAGCCCCTGCACCCTCTTAAAAATACGTACCAAGACCAAACTTCAACAAAGGAGCCAGCCAAAGAATCGCGCCAAAGCCCGGCTGTGGGCATAGTACATCTCACATGCATCCTGTGGCCAGATTTGGCTCTGTGGGCGAGGTGATGAGAAATAAAGAATGCCAATCGGTTTTGCAATCTTGCTCGTAACTAGCAGTGCCAATCCAGTGAATGTCGAGATGAGATATTGTGTCATTAGTGGCTATGACCATCCACGTTTGTAGTCACGCCAGTGCAGGTGTCAACTCTCGTTGCGTTGCGTGGTAGTCCTTCAGCATCCAGTCCCGGTACTTTCCTGCTGGGGGGAGAATTTCGCCCGGACCGTAGGACTTCTGCGAGTCACTGCCGTACGGTATTCTCCTGCAGGCACTCTCTCCGTTTCGCGCTTGTGTTGGGGAGTGGGCTTGACGGCATCCACGCTTGCATGGCGAATAAAGGGCACCAGCGCAAAATGTGGACAGCTGGACAAGCAAATCAGGTGCTACTGTACAGATAAGTAAATTCTACATACAAACCGATGGAAGAGCCCGACTTGGCCGAGCTTTGCGTAACAAATCGCCAGGCTTGGTTAGCAATACTGTTGTTGGCTTACGAGGTGAGATAGATTTACTGTCTAATGGGCCATGGCAAGGCTACCAATGGCTTAGCCCCACGAGTTTCCAGTTCATGCCCGGGCACTCCATGACCCAGATGAAGTTCCTTACTGCGAGATCTTGCAAGTCCGTAACATGCAGAAACCTCACTTCAAGGAAAGCTTTGCAGCGAGGCATCGTTGTCCGGCGGTTCATGTCCGCGAAGAAGATACGAGGAGTCTTAACGGGCAGCTTGCCGGAAAGCATGTTGTAAAACATCGTCTCGGCCCAGTCGCCATTGATAGTAACCTGGAAAAGACTGTGACAGGTTTACACTGTGCTGAACCTCAACTTCTTCGGCAGGACCAGGCACGAAGGCAGGTAAAGAGCCACTGACAAGTGGCAATCGAAACCTGCTACATGAAAGAAATGTTGCTGCCAGAACTGAGTGGTAGCACCGAGATCTTGAACCGCTCGTTCTTGCCGGTGAACTCATGCGGCATCTTGACGAACATGTCCTGAAAATGGCACGCCATAACAGAATGTAGTTAACGTATTGAACCCCGGACTTTTTGATACGACTGAAATCTCTACTATAGATTACAAAACTGACTAAAACTGACGACGACTACTACTACTACTGCTGCTGCTGCTACTACTGCTGCTACTACTACTACTACTACTACTACTTCTAAGTCTACTTTGGAAGACATTGACTTGCGCGCCACTGGACCCTCAACGCTTGGCACAAATCTCTGCCGAAGAGCTTTGCCAGGCTCGTCGCCCACTGGTTCGCGACTGCAAACAGGGAACAAGTGCTTACCCAGAGGTCCCATAGTAGTTCCTTTTTGGGGCTCTCATATTTAGAATCCTACTATAGCTAGGTAATCCCAAAAAGGAACTACTATGGGGCCTATGGTTAATGCGGCAGTACCGAGAGCAATGCGGAACACAACTCGACGATCTGAAAACGACAGCTGTCAAACTCACTGCAGCAGAGACAACCATTGAACTTTTTCTTTACAAGGGACTCGGCTGCTGCCCTTACTGCCCAGCTTGACCCACAAGACAGTACTCATGACTGAGATGCGAGACNNTCCAAGCTTCAGGCACAACTTGGTACGAGACGACTTTCTGAAATTTTGCATGCAGCCATTGAACTTAAATTGTATATTCTGTTGTATACGACTATATATGCTGAATTCATGTTCATATACATATATACATATATATACATATATACATACATATGGCATATATACATATGTATATATATATATATATATATAGATCGAGGGATAAATTAGGTCGCCGGTTCTATCTTCATCCTCAAGATCAAGGCCCCCGGCCCGAACCCCTTTCAAGCGGCACATTCTCAAGCTGTCCTTACTCAGGGCTGAGGTCAGGCTGTAAAGCACTTAGTGATTCTGTGGAACGTCTGAATCTGAACTCTCACAACTTGAACGGTTTGAGACATCAACTTGAAAGGTTGGAAACATCATGCTGCAGATATATACTGTAGTACATCATGCAATTTCAGCAAGTGAGATATGGACACAAGTCGAATTCAGGATTTCCAAAGCCCAGCCTCACCAACCCACATGAACTTGGACAATTTAGACTGACAGTGCGTGATTGTGTTTGCATGTTTGTGTGTGTGTGCCGTGTTTGGGTTGGTGTGTTGCGATGCCCTAGTTTAAAAAACTCACCCCGCAACGCCAGCCTGTAGTCCACGGACAGCAGTATCTTGATCCCGGCACCACCCCAGCTTGCTTCCTCGTACAACACTGGTACATGCACGCGACGTCGCAAGCTTGGAAGCTTATAACAGAGGATCATCGCTGTTTTGCGGTCTAGTTTGCCAATAGTTTGGAGTCATATGTGTTCGGCTCTCAGCCGTGGCACCGTGGATTCTGTGGACTCCGTCGTCTTGGCAGCTTTGATGTCGAAGTCCGTGAACTTCACCTCTGTGCAGATATGCCCCTGGCTGCAAATTATACGTAGAAGCTCAGGGCTACTGGCCGAGACCATGGCGCAGCAGGGCCACCCACTATTCAGCACGACGTTTTGGGATGCTCTCCAAAATGCACAGGGGCGAACTCGGGGCAGAGTCATCGCCGGTACTGAGTTGACGATGTCCACGTTGACTCAACTCCCGAAAATCTCCTTTCGGGACGGAGGCTTGCAGTCGAGAGGCGATCCTGTTGTCCTTCGGGAGGGTGCCTGCCTTGTGCATGGCCTTCGTCAGCCAGTCCTGAGGACGGGTGCTGAAAACAGCCTTGCTTCGAACATCTTCGAACTGTCGTCTCGATATAATCAGCGCAAACACGGCACACCCGCGAAAAAGCTTCTGTTAGCTGTGGCAGGAAAGTTCAATATAGTTCAACGTCTGAGACCCCCCGATATGAAGACCGGCGAGTCACAATCCCAAACGCGTTTACGCATCGCTTCGCACACGGGACCAACCTACGACACGCCTGGATACGGCTCTTGTGAAGTTCCCCTTGCCAGCTGCCAGCTGCGCGCATTTGAGGCCAGAAGCGCTTGCACTCGTCGTGTCAACATCCCCATATAGGACATTTTGACTCCTACTACCAAGGACATGATGACCGAAGGCCCGGATTTCAATCCGGCTCGCGGGAAAACGGCAATTCCCGTCAAGAAGCCGGCCCCATTTCCAGAAACTGATCCGCCGACAGGGGGAAGTTCCTCGGCTTATGACTGCGAATTCTGAGTGTCGGGTGTTGGACCTTACCATCTTGCCCACTTCCGCACAGGTAGAGTACGTAGAACGTGCCCTCTTTTTTTGAAGCGTCCGGCAGGCAAACGTGAAGCTGGCTCCCTGGCTCCGTGGTGGTTTTTGAGCTCTGGGAAATCAATCAGCATATGAGCATGATGCAGTACCCTGAGCCAGTTTGCTGGCAACTATCTCTTCGGTGTCAGGATCCCGTTTTTCCATCAACATTTCTCAACCAGCAAAAGCCTCATCAGCCCTCTCCAAGCCCCGGTGCAGTCCCCAAAACTCGCCCGCGGCGGCTTCGCCGACCACCTGGCCAAAAGAGGATGCATGCATGGAAGGTTGCACACGCAGCCTGGTGCAAAGTCAGTTGCTCGGAAGCACCAAAGAGAAAAGCCATCAGGAATTCACACCCAAGACATGGGATTTTCTCTTCGGGTTTTTGCAGCCGAACAGCAGTGGGTTTGGGCCCCACACGGTGACAGACGAGAGGGACTGAATGGGTCGAAAGCTTCGGTGGCTGCTGTGCGGGAGTTCGGCCTTTTTGAAAGCACCGAGCGATGTGGGACGACCGCCATCTCCGGCGCGTGGAAAGTTGTCCCACACCTGGCTTCGTTGAGGAGAGCGTTTCATCCTTCCAGCCCGGAACAAAAAGTATCAACATAAACCTGCTATGCACTGTTCTACAAGAGGGTTTACGCCTGAAGAACACCTTAAAATATCTTGCAACCTCGGACTTTCCTAAGTATGCCTTTGAAGGCTCTGTACGGGCTTCAGGCTTCTTTTTGCGAGTTCAACCGGCCGCAAGACCCTAGGGCTCCAGATCAGAGAGGCCCCCTCTTTTGTTTACGAAGCCGCCTCTTGAGGAAGCGGCGTCCAGGTCGCCCACTTCGCTCTCCTTGTAGGCCGGGGCCACAGTTCTTTTTTCAGGTCACCTGACAAGGAACAAGCTAGACACAGTGCAGCAAAGTACAAAAACCCGTCTCCTCGCGATGGCACCCTCGCCGTCCTGCTCGTGCCCGTTCCTGCAGCTGCGGTGTCATTGCGCTGGCATTGGATAGAGTTGCTCTTTCCTGCGTTAAAATTGGTGCAGATCTGGGATCACAAGGCCATGGACCCAGGTTCGAGTTGACTAAACCGTGTATGTTCGATAGTTGAAGCTTCAGGACACATCTACAAGATCAAATTTGCAACAAACCAACTCCCAGCGTCACCAAATCCCTTTCAGAGCCGAAACTCTTGAGTGGCGTTCCAGGAGCCACTCTGGCCCTTTGGGCCTGCACCCTCTCCGCGAATCTGCATATGATACAGCCATCCAAGCGAATAACAACATCGAGTGCAGCCCAAACCAAACAGAGCACTGTACGAGTAAACATGCAGGACACAAGAAACAACTCCCAAAGCTAGTCGTTGTTTAATGTGCCTCAGCTTCCCGAATGAATGAACCTGAACCAGCCGCAATCATGATCACCGAAAAAGCTGAAAATGCCCAGCTTCGCCGTGGCCACGGGCTCCGCGGGTGCCGCGCTATCCTCTTGCTTGGAGGGAGTCGATGCACCGGCCTCACCCCTTGCGACCACGGCCAGGGGCTTCCCAGAGAGCAAGACGCTGATCCAGCCTTCGGGAGGTCCTGCGAAGTGTCTGGCACCAAACAAACCCGCAAAACTGGTTGTGGTGGTCTCTGACACCTTCGCCACCTCACCGCCGCCACCCTTAGCAACATCATCGCGATCGCAACCACCGTGGCCATCGTCATGTCATTTTTTTGGCACACGCATGGATGTCATGATCTGGTGTCTTCTTCACAAGCGTCCGCCGCATCATCGACATCACCAGCACGACATGCCTACCATAGACGGTCACATGGCTTGATGCTGGTTGAAGATCGAGACTTATGACACTTCATCCTGAATGGAACTGACAGGCCATCATGATGTCAACTCACTCGCCGAGCTCGCACCCGACCAGCCCCCAACCAAAAGCCCCACCAGACGATTTTCTAGCACCAGCCAGCATGATCCAGCGCAATTCCAGCCGGCTCATAGGCACGGCATGGAAAAAAGGGGCTGCAGTCGCGGTGGTATGGTCCCCCAGCAATCCCTCAAAACCCTGCCTAGATGTCTGCCTACAGTTCAGTCTTAACAAGGAGACCGACCCAAGAAAAGGTAGAAGGGCACTACTGGGGGACCCAGGGCATGCTGTCGTTCAAGTCCAGGCCCATTTCGGCCATGGGATGAAGCAGTGCAAAGACTAGGCTCGCACGAGGACGCGTGGCGGAAGAACCACGCGATTGCTTACGTACACGGAGGAGTATGCCATCGGATATCCTCCTAGGAAGGATGTCTCTCGAGACATCGGGTACACTGGCTGTACAGGGAACCGCACTTGCATGTAGGGCATAGCCGCGGGCTGGACGACGCGCATCGTCACTCGAGGTGCTGCCTTGCGGACCCTCTTGATGATCGTGGCAGGATGTTGGACGGCGGGCAGGATTGCCATGCAGCGACTCCGGTCCAGAGGCAATCCGGGCGGCTGCGCCAGCGTCACCGCCGACTTTGGGACTGTTCCGGAGTAGACAGGACAGCCTGCAAAGAGGATTGCACAAATGATTCTTGGTGTTTCAGGTTTAATGACTGGCTTGAGGTAATACAAAGTTTCAGTGGACAGGGGTTCAGGGCTACAGTAATGGGCAAATTGGAACTCGGCGGAAGCCTGCGATGCTGTGAGCGGTTGCATAGGTCCTGGAGAGCTCGCGTCCTGCGAATGTCTGAACATAACGCGAGCTCAAGGCTGCTGGCGCGACGGTCGTGGCCAATCCATCTGGCACTGCCTTGGGCATCTTCTTTGCGACCGGGTCTGCAGCTCCCACATCGGGCTTTGGGGCCAACCAACATCGCCGTTGGTGTTCATCGTCCTCGGGTTGCCACAGCAGGTTCTCCTTGCCGCAGACATAGAACTCGGGGCACAAATCCAGGACCATGATTTGAAAGCTTGCAGGGGCGCTGGAGCCTGAACGTCAAACACAACACCGTGAAGCTACAAGCCCGTGACCATTTTTTCTCGGACGCTGAGAGCAAGGTTCCGGGATCCACGGGTTGAGATGGCAGGCTATCTTACGCTTCGGCCGCGTTTGCATGGCCCTTTTAGTCTCCGGAATTTGCGATGCCGACCTGTTGGCTCTAGGTTTTGAGCCAACTTCCGGACAGGACAGTCATGAAGACCCGTGCGGAAATCGACGAATAAGTCTTTGCAGGCAAAGGACAAGCAAACTGAGACATCAGCTTGACATCAACTACTGCAGCATGGAAGATTCAGAAGAGCTCTGCATCAGCCGGTAGTATCACTAGTGGCGGGCATAGCCTCAGCAACGGCATCAGCATCACGTTCGTTGTGGTCAATGTCACCTTCATCTCCTCACCACCATCACGCTAAGCAACATCATCGTGATCACAACCCTGGCAATCCGAATCACCGTGGCCATCGGCATGTCAAGATCTGGTTTGTGTTCTTCACTCCTAGCACAAGCAACCGCCGCATCATCGGCATCACCAGCACGACATGCTTGCCATAGACGGTCACATTGGTTGAACCTCGAGACTTCTGACACGTCATTCTGAGAGGAGCTAAACGGCCATCATGATATCATCTCACTCGCCGACCTCCGAGAACTAGAGACACGAGCGCTGGACCTCCTACTCCCCCGCCCATACCAGTATGAAAGCATCGTCCACCTAGAAGCGAGTGCAGGGCAGCAATCATGAGACAAGCCCCGCCGGACAAGCTTCACGGTTGGCAAAGCATTCCGGATTCTAGGCCAACTCCAGCCACCAACAAGAACAAGCCAAAACTTATCAAAAGCCCGTTTCATGACGAGAACCTCGCACCCGACCAGCCCCCAACCAAAAGCCCCACCAGACGATTTTCTAGCACCAGCCAGCATGATCCAGCGCAATTCCAGCCGGCTCATAGGCACGGCATGGAAAAAAGGGGCTGCAGTCGCGGTGGTATGGTCCCCCAGCAATCCCTCAAAACCCTGCCTAGATGTCTGCCTACAGTTCAGTCTTAACAAGGAGACCGACCCAAGAAAAGTTAGAAGGGCACTACTGGGGGACCCAGGGCATGCTGTCGTTCAAGTCCAGGCCCATTTCGGCCATGGGACTTGAAGCAGTGCAAAGACTAGGCTCGCACGAGGACGCGTGGCGGAAGAACCACGCGATTGCTTACGTACACGGAGGAGTATGCCATCGGACATCCTCCTAGGAAGGACGTCTCTCGAGACATCGGGTACACTGGCTGCACAGGGAAGCGCACTTGCATGTAGGGCATAGCTGCGGGCTGGACGATGCGCATCGTCACTCGAGGTGCTGCCTTGTGGACCCTCTTGATGATCGTGGCAGGATGTTGGACGGCGGGCGGGATTGCCATGCAGCGACTCCGGTCCAGAAGCAATCCGGGCGGCTGCGCCAACGTCACCGCCGACTTTGGGACTGTTCCGATGTAGACAGGACAGCCTGCAAAGAGGATTGCACAAATGATTCCTGGTGTTCTCTATGCACACACTCGAATGCTACAAGCTTTGGCTCTCTCGCATTTCAGGTTTGATGCTTCGGACTGGCTTGAGGCACTTGAGGCAGTATAAAGTTTCAATGGACAGGGGTTCGGGGCTAACGGGCAAATTGGAACTCGGCGGAAGCCTGCGATGCTGTGAGCGCTTGCATAGGTCCTGGAGAGCTCGCGTCCTGCGAATGTCTGAACATAACGCGAGCTCAAGGCTGCTGGCGCGACGGTCGTGGCCAATCCATCTGGCACTGCCTTGGGCATCTTCTTTGCGACCGGGTCTGCAGCTCCCACATCAGGCTTTGGGGCCAACCAACATCGTCGTTGGTGTTCATCGTCCTCGGGTTGCCACAGCAGGTTCTCCTTGCCTCCGACATAGAACTCGGGGCACAAATCCAGGACCATGATTTGAAAGCTTGCAGGGGCGCTGGAGCCTGAACGTTAAACACAACACCGTGAAGCTACAAGCCCATGACCAATATTTTCTCGGACGCTGAGAGCAAGGTTCCAGGACTTACAGGCTGCGCTGCCGACCTGTTGGCTCGAGGTCTTGAGCCAACTGACCGTACAGTCTCATGACAGGCAATTAATGATTCCGCAAACTCTTACGCCTCGCGTCGCGTGTTAGGCTGCAGGCCTTAGAGTCTGTCGGAATTCTCATATGGTCTGACATTGGGATACATTGAGCGCGTACCGGATCGTCTTGGCCGCAGACAGTGTGAAGCATCTCACATGTTCCGCGGCTCTCTTACGCAACTCCGGGTCCTGCGCCGGCAAGAAGCTTGTACTGCAAGCGGTCACCTTGCACACGAAGGCTTCGACAGGCAAGAGGCTTCAAAGATACCCTCAGGCCCTATACAGCTAAGGATGCTATTGGGATGATGAAGGCATTGCTACTGGGCACATGCCATATCCGTGTCCCAAAATTATTCCGTGGCCAAGCAGTCAAGCCCTCCAGAAGACCCCTTGGCCGGGCCACCAGCCTGACCTCAAACCACAAGCAACATGCGAAGTCCATGATAGCGTGTGAGAGAATTCGACGGCCCCAGTCTCCACTGCTGTGGTCAGAACAAACGAAGATGGAACTGCAACTGCATGCTGTCATGCATGCAACGTGGTGCTGCGTCATCACGGGCATCTGACACACGTGCACATGCTGAGCTAAATCGCAACCACTTGCTTGTGCCCTCTCGACATGGACCTGGAAGCTTCAGCAATATTATGCCCTGCTGTCCAGACCCGAAAGCTGCAGCGCCTTTCACAGTCACTTGCTCCACCAGGGAACCCGTCGACAGACCTTCGCGCTGCTTGAGAACACATTTTTAGCTTCGGGTACCCAACGTGGATCTTGGCTGTCGCGAACCGAGGGCCGACCCCACCCCACCCGCGAATCCGCGAAGAGTTCCAATCAAAAAGTATGCTAAAGGGCTGGGATGACGAGGCGCTAATGCACAAAGTGTCAGCTTGAGCACGCGGTTCTAAACATGCCTGGCACCGCACTCGCGGTTTTACTAGAGCCAACATGGTTAATTTGTGGCTCTACTTGCGTGCCGCCTCATACGAGTAGCGAAGAGCAAAAAAAGATTTCCCCCAAACGCATTCATATCAAACCAAATAACCCCCAGACATGCGACTCTGGCACACAACCCCCCCCCCAATACAAGCGCGATACCTTTCACGAGGTTTTGCGGCTTGAATCTTGCGGCCTGAATGCCCCCGACCGAAAAACAACATCAAATAACCAAGGAGCGGGCAGGACGAAGCACACCCTAGGGCGTCTTGGGCCGGGTATAGAGGTATACCATGAACGGTTGCAGCCCCGGTCTGCCGGCAGCACGGCCCATCAGTCGGGACAGTCAGGCGACTATTGAAAAGATCAAGCGACGGTCTCCCAGCTGCGCAGACTTGGTGCTCTCACCGTCCCGAACGATGATGCCACCTGTGGAAGCCGCAAGGTCCGAAGAAGTTTCGACAGTTGATTTATCTGTTTCTGCGCGCTGCTTGTGGCAGAAGTCCGGCAGGCCAACAACTCCCATGCAAAAAATCTGCTATAAGTAGTTACATCAAGTTACATTGGCGTTGAATTTTCTGCTGCTACGAGCTCGCCTAAGTAAGTAACACGGCATGGACCAGCGCTGACTTCCAGTACGACCGGGCCTTTGTCACCTCCACCCACAATCTCCCAAATCACCGGGCTCGGCATTGCAATGGAAGAATACTGGAAGAGTGTTGGAGGACTGTGTTTGTGCGTCTTGCAATGCCAGGGCTGGGACTCAAACTGCTCACAGTCGTCTGTTTCTCATCTACGAGAAGAGGATCACCTTTCGGTCACAGCAGCGCAGTCTTTTATTCCATTAGCGCCAGGTCCATGTGACTTTCTTTGAGGTGTGTGCGTACACGTACTATGTAACAGACCGGCCTGCACAGGATCGCTCACATCGGTCATGCTTGTGTCCGGTCTATGTACCAGCCGGAGGCGCATAATTGACAGCTGCCCCTCGCGTGAAGCAAATGCTGCGGAGAGAAGCATCCTGATGAACCAGGAGGGCTTTGAAAACGTCCGTCCTCTAAACTACTGTATGTCCTCTTCAATATGAACTCCTTCAACCCTGTTGCCGTCTGCTGCCTCAGAGCCCTAAACCCTAACCCTAAGCTCTAGCCAGCTCCCTGCCTCAGCATGGGGCAAGGATCCTCGACCTGAGTTGCCGACTTGATGCGATGCTGATGTGTAGACGTCTGACAGTCTGGAGAAATGAGAAACGGATGCTACGCAAGCATGTGTACTATCTATATATATATATGTATATCTATATATATATATGTATCTATATATATATATGTTTAAAGGGTATGACGTAATTGTCTGCTGCCTTGTTGAACGGGTCGCTCTACTATGTAGGATTCTCGTCATTGTGTAGGGCTCTTACGAAAGACGCACCATGTCTACCAGACTGCTCAGCATGTTCAACCTGCTGAGGAACATGTCCTATGCTGGGCACGGGAGCACAGAGTATGCCGATGCTCAGGCCAGCCCCCACCAAGCGTCTCACATCATCTCACCGCAGCCTGTCTCCCACAGCTGCCTCAAGAGCTACTGGCAGCTGAGAATCCGGCAAGGTCATCTCCCTGGGCAGCGAAGAATACACAAACCGCTATGTTGAGAGAAGGGTTTGTCTCCTTGGCAAATCTGCCGGGATCCTTCACTTGGACGTACAGTGCCTGCTTTGGATGGGCTTGCGCCTCGAGCGGAATTGCAGATCATGCCTATCCCACTCCCGAAGTCGAAGACAAATGATCATCAGCCGTTGTAAAGTAGCCCACTGAATCTCCGAAGGACCTAAACCCCGACTATGGAACCCTAACCTATCGAACACACTTCCAAGCCCCTGAAGTTCTGAACCTCCTCAGGCCACCCCCCCCCCTTGACTCCTCCCCTGCTTGATGCACAGCCGGAGAGCAGTCGGGTTGGAAAGCAGCAGGCTGCCCGAAGTACTGGGTGGCAATGCCGGAGTGCTCATATCGTACCTTGGAAGTTTCGATGATTTCGTCTGCTTTGCTCAGTAAACGAGATCACCATTCTCAAGAGAAGAAGGATGCTACTACATGCTACGATTTCGGACCTATGCGTTTACGATCTATGCAAACGTGAGGCTTTCTCCCTTTCTCTTATCGGGCTCGCACCGTTCACATTTTTTGCTGCACGTGTCAATAAAGGTCTAGGCACGGTTTGTGAATGCCGAAGCCACAGCTTCAAGCAAAGTTAGTCCTAAACAGCACAGATCTCAAGACTTCAACACATGTGCAGAATGTACATATTCGAATGCCCCTGAAACGCCACATGGCCGGGCCGAGGAGAGAGTGCGCATGTCATAGCAAAGCAAAATGCAAGTACGCACACAGGAAAGAGAACGACTAGATACGACTGGGGTTCGCCAAGTTGGACAGGATCTGGCGACAATCAGGGAAGGCGTGCGATTACACTGCTTAAGATGCATTTCCCCGGACTGTAGATTAGGTTGAAGTAGGAGGTCAGGAATTCAGCCTTGAGGATTTATTCCTAGCGAGATGCCACTGCGCTCCAGGTGCCGGCCGAGCAGTTGCAGCCTGCAGGCTTGAGCAGGGAGGTGGCGACGTCTCAAATATTTAACCTACAATTACAACAAGTTACACAATTAGGAGAAGAAGAAACAGATTCTCTCACGACAACGACCGGTTTTTGGGACCGGCCAGGAGGTCGACAAAGACCGTTGAAAGACACATCGATTTGCAGGTCGCGGCTGTTGTCGCATGGCTGGTCGATTGGCTACGCCTCATAAGCCATTTTGTGCTGATGCCTGTGATGCTCTGAAGATCACCTTCGTGCTTCAGTTGAGTCACACCGGTTGGGCAAGCCATGCCGACGACGATAAATGGTTCTACTTTGAGGTTCGCGTGAAATCTCACGACTACAGAATTACACCGAACATGCCCAGCCACTTTCAGGTCCTTAAGGTTTCGGGGCGTTGCTGAAGCCTACCTGGCGCTGGTGCTCGAGACGTTGAGCGAGGTCAGTGCCTCAGTGCCCCCGAGATGTTCCTTGACGATGCCCGGCCTTAGCCTTGGGATGCCTCCAAGGTCTCAGCACTAGCAGCTTAGGGGCAAGCCTCCTTGTCCAACTCTCGGTGTGAGTAGTGAGATTTATGGCTTCAACTTGCAAGGCGCTCGATTGAGTATCGCAAGCTTAGGATCTGCATTGCCTGGTCTGTGATTCCTGTTGACTTTGGGAGTCCAGTCTGCGCAGGCAGGCGATCTGTGAAAGTGTGCCTTTTGCCAAACTGAAGTGCTACGAGGTTCGAACAAGGCCTGCAGCATCACGGTTTCGCGCCTGTGCACACCCTGCTGACAATGGAAACGGGTTCAAGGGACCCTGAGCTTCTCTCAAGCGCGACCTCCGAAAATCCAAGTTCGCTTCTGCTTGCAGCGGTCTCACAGCTCGCTGAATATATCTGGCCCCTCGAAACCCTAGGTGGAAGCCCTCGACCTGAACTTCTCTAATGATGATCCACCTTCACCTGCCTACCAGTAAAAACTCAATCTTGGCCTAGGCGCATGCTCCTTGCACGGCTTCTAGCAGCCTGCAGACCTTCAGGGAGCAATGGCTGGCGCAGCACGGTTGCGGGGTTTCGAAAACATGCGAACAACATATACAGTTACATGGCAGCTGGAAGACCTACATATTGGAAAAGCCCTATTGCAAAACAAAGGGACGCCCAGGCACGACTCACAGTCTGCAAACCAGTGCGATAGATATTGGAACTGAATCCCTTTAGAACGTGTTGCAAGATAAGCCCGGGGGCTGGATGTCCGGGCTTCAAGAATGCAAACTGCGTGCCGATTCGTTTGTGCATCCGACGTGACCGACTACATACAAGTAGGGTGTTCCCAATGCTTAAGACTCTCATTGCCAGGTTAGTTCTACTATGTTCTACTGCATTGCACCGAACCAAAAACCCAACTCGCGGGCCACAATCGGTACTGACTCTCGCCTCACCTATTGACCTACTATATGTACATGCAGGTACATGCGCAAGCATCAGCAAATGCTATTGCCTCACCTCAGGAAGCTTCGTTGCTTGAATGGGCGTGTGCGCACACACAGGGAGATGCACGCTACGCAATTCATTCATGCAGCTATACAGTGATATACATGTTTTGTTGAGATGGCGAACAGACACACACACACACAGACTGACTGCGAGAAACAAACTGAGAAGCCGTCCACACGCCTGAAACGACGAAAAGACTCTGAAAACTAAGGGCTCCTGTTTCGTCTCTTGAGAGGACTACCTCCAAGGGCACAAGTGCCATGGTCCGGCCTCCGCTTCGTAAGGCTCTCGCCTAGATTCCTCGGAGCTGGAGTTCGGTTGCTTCTGATGGCTTCGGCACGAGTGCCTGCAGCAAAAGAACGAATGCCTCCTTATAAATGTAATTTACGATTCGACGATGCAAAGAGCAGTCGGCTGCCGCCTCACAGCCGAGCAAAACTTTCGGAGGATCTCAAGGAGGCCTCTGGGAAGCCTACAGTTTTTTGGTTCGTCCTTGGTTGCAAGCTCTTTTGGGAATGCCTGCGCTGGGAAGAGCCTGTGGTTGGAGTTCGTTAAGCCGCTGCAGAACTCAAGTATACCGCAACTCCAACCCCCAAAACAACGGCGGACCAGCAGAAGCGTTTGCAATTACGACAACACTGGCTTACAGTCATGAGCGTCACTAAGAAGCCTGCAATTGTAGTGGCCACATCTTTTGCACAATGCAGCTGCTTGTTGGTGTAGATGTCGGGAGGGCTTGCGGGTAGAGTTTATTGTTTACTTGCAGCTCCAGCATTTGTAACACCGGCCTTTGGCCCAGACGTTGCTCTCTAATTACGGCACTCAGCCCTTGTCATTCCACTCCCTATCGGAAGCACTCGCCATGCTTTCCACTTCTTGCCTCCACTTCGGGCCCTTTGTGATAGGGCTGTTTTTTCAATCTTTTTGTTGACACGAGCTGGCTCGTACGGGCTGCCTTCATCAGCTAGTACAGACGCTAGGCAAATTTGTTGATGCGAAAATCCTCAACTGCTTCTGCATAGGTTCACCAGCGATCAAGTTCAGCTGCCGGAGCACTTGCTCTTAGGGAACTTCAGGGTAGCTGGATGTCACAACCCTTCTTCTTTTGTGCCACAGAGACTTCCGAGCCCAAACACGACAACCATTACTGTTCTGGTAGCGATAAGCATGTTTATGGGATGGCAATATCAACACCACAACCAGGGTAGTCTTCAGGAGACATTTGATGGTTCGAGTGAAATTGTGCACAAACAAAACGAAGCATGACACATCAGAAGAACGATGGCAACTTCTGTGGGGTGTCAGTCACACACGAAGTCACAACGGCCGGTAGATTCTTGAGGTGTCGAGCCCCTGCCAATGCGCTCTGTTAGAGTGAAGAAGTACAGCCGATTCATGACTGCAGCACGTATCGTATGCGTTTGAGAAGACGAAAACTGCGTGCAAAAACAGACGAAGCAATGATATCGAGGCACAGTCGGCTGTGGCTGGTAATCAGGTGCACCTGCTGCAGTCTCAGGTGTCTGGTGTGGCAAGAGCGTCCATGTGGCTGCAATCGATCATGCCGCAGGATGCTGCAGATCAAGTGTCGAGGCCTGCCCTTCAAGGGAGTCCAAAGTGCAGCCCTGACTGCATGACAGATTTCTCTGGTCCTCTCTCTCTCTCACACGGACTCAGTTGCCTGAAATCTGGTCCTGCTGTTTACAAACCTCGGAAAAGCTTGGGCATCGTGCATTTCTCTCTGCAAGAATGCATGAAGAATCCGATCCCGAGCTGACTCCAGAGGCCTTTAAGCTCCCTCCTCACCCTGACTCGTCGCCTTGCTGGGCAGCGGGCCTTGGCTTGGCTCGTCCGGCTTAAACTGCGACCCCCGGCTAGGGCTAGGAGTGCCGTAGGCCTTGGGGGCCATGCTTGCTTTTGGGTCCATGCTAGCCAGAGGCATCATACAACGATCACAGAAGTGCAGAACTGATCCTTCATCACCCAAGACGAAGTCAGATCCCGAAGCCTGAAGCACACAGAGGCTGCACCTGCGGGGCCCCCGAGCCTTTTTGCTTCGATGCTTTTTGAATTTCGGCTCATGGCTGTCACGCCGACGAGGTTTCCAGTCGAGGCTCCGTGGGGCGTGGGGTATGCCGGGATTCAAGTTTGGAGTCCGACAGTCCCAGCTACAGTTGGCACGTGGCAGCTCGAATTTGGGGTGGGTATACAGTGGAGGATTCGGGACTGAAGCTGGAAGTTGGAAGTTGTCGTCACAAGTCGAGGCTCAACCAAGCGATGGAAGCTGTGCTGCAAGTAGGCATGGCTGCATGCATGCATGCATGCATGCATGAATTTATAGCATCTCTTCGAACAACGTAAGGTCTGGGGGGTGGGGGGGGAGTAATGACGTTCTCTGTTTCAAGATTCAGTATGCTTGTCTTCCTGTTGCTGTTCTTCATGGTCGTGTGCATGTACCAGTAGTTGATGTCGAATCTACTACGCCTGCCACACGAAACAGAGTTCTTCTTGCAAAAGTTGACAGCATTTTTGCGTTTACAGTTTGGATCTCATATCACATCATACCATCCCAGATCATGACAGATCATCGCATACCATCCCAGACCATGTCATCTCATCTCATGTTATCTCATCTCATCTCACATCACACAAAGGCTCGCTTCAGTAGATTCTCACTACTGTGTTTAACCCTGTTTCGTGTGTCAGGCATGGTATTTCCGGTATGTTCGCTAGTGCTTGATTGAATCTTCTCCTTCCCGTGCAAACCCGAAACAGCGACTAGCGCGTCTAGAATCTAGAAGCGTGTCCAAAACCCCAGTTTGAGCCCAAACTGTAAAAGCAAAAAAAGTGCTGTCAACTCTTGCAAGAAGAAGCCTGTTTCGTGTGGCAGGCGCACTAGATTCGACATAAGACATAAACATCCGTTTTCCAGGCCCAGTTGTCCCCCCTCGAGGTTCTCTTCGGACTAGCTCGACCGGCTTAAGGCTTATTAAGCTCAGTAAAACCTTATCAGGGTTGCAGCTGAGTGATGTCGAACAGGGTTGCAGCTGAGTGATGTCGAAGTGCGAGGGAGCCCTCGTCGCGGCAGTTTCCAGCGTTGCGAAGCCGGAGCGCTGAAGGTCCTTCCAGCTTCCAGGTCTGAGAGTTCGAGAACATAACTCCCATCCTGCTTTTAAGCATATCTCAAGAGGAAGTGAAATCTTCAAGACTTGACGTAGTGGACTTTCAGACATCCCCTGTCTCACTATAGCTACTACAGTTTCTCATTGGACCGGCTTAACGTTGGGCTCCTGAAAACCCATGAACGAAGGTGCAGGCAAGCGCTCCTGCTGTGGCTGTGGAGGTGAAGCCAAGACTGGCACCTCCTCCCTCGCGAAGGTCAAAGGTCCAAAGCTGTAAGTGGCAGCGCAGCGACCCTTTGTCGGGAAGGACGGGCTGGGAATCTCGCCAGCCCCTGGGCTGGGAGCCTTTGGGGACTTCCTGGCTTCCGATTGGCGCGGAGGCGAGGCCACCGGCAGAGTGAAAGCAGGAGAAGCAGCGGAGGCGCTGGCACTCTGAAGCTGGATCACATCTTCAAGGACGCGACGGGACCCGACACCATTCCCAGAGCCTCGCACAGGCACAACGACGTATCTACAGCACATATCTATGCACGCACAGTGCCAATTTAAAGCATTATGTATCATCATGTATGATAGATGCGCATAGAAACATGTAGCTCCAAAACTAGTCCCGACCTGGTGTCATTGTGGAGGGTACCGAACAGCCGTCGTCCATCTTGATGTGCGACGAAAGCCTAACCTGCAGTAGCTGCAGCAAAACCGGCATGGCATGGGGCGCATGCTGCAAAAGTTTCTCTGCCTCTCAAAATCGAAATGCAACTCCTCGCAACCCTGTCAGAAGTGACTTTGCTGCCATCCTCGTGCCTTTGTCGGGGCGTCTGCGAGAAGTCCAAACACTGCAGCATCTTTGACTGCAGCACCTCTGGCATGCAGTCTTTACGGTTGCAGAACCCCTGACCAGTCCTGTGTGGTTACCAGTTTTCCCGAAGACACTTTCTACAGTAGTGCAGTGTGAAGCCAACGGACCTTGCTAGCACTATGGTCACTATGGGGTTGTTGCACGTCGGACAACCAACTAGATGCAACTCCCCGAAACCTCAGGAAAAACCAACCGGTTCAGGGCAGGGTTGGCCCTTGAAGATTGGGGCTTTGTTGGCCAGGGCACATGCGCCAGCCAGTTCTGTGACCGGTGCTTGCAGATGGAAGCCTTTAATGTCCGGGCTCCTGGGCCAGCAGGATGGGTCGGCGGTACGATCGAGTGGTTCATCTTCTGCGGCGACGTCTTCTTGGTCATGCTGTTTGGCCATGTCGTAAACTATCGTGTACTGGGTCAACCATGGACAGCCAAGCTTCGCGACAAAGTTGCAGGCACCGTTGACCACATGCGCTGTTGCCTGACAACAAAGGGTTCCTTTGCCAGCTGCCTGGCGAAGATCACGCAGGCATCTAGATTCTGGATGGACTTCTTGCAAGAGTAGAACCCACTGCAGCGCTGTAGCTGCAGCAGGCCGCACAGCGTCAGAAACAAGCATGAACCATGTAGATTGCCCGCCTCGGCCTTCGTAGTGACGAGAGATGCGCCTGGATTCAGGTTTCTGGCTTTAAAGTGTCTCAGCTCTTGCAAACTACTGGTCGACAAGACCACCAAACCTGCTTACAGACCAAGGCCGGCCGTTTGGTCGATAGTCACATGCAGCTGTGTACTTCTCGTACAAGTACATGCCTGACACAGATGCATATTGGCAGCAAAGGCTCTGCTCCCTTGGAGCTGCGACGCTCGCTGCGTCTCCTGCAAGTTGCTACAGAGAGACCGCACCCGCGAGAAGACGACAAAAGCCGCGAAGTAGCAGCAGCAGCAGCAACAACAGCAGCAGCAACACGGATGGTACATCATCGCAACATCGGCTCAGATGTAAGGTGGAAACCCAGTGGGCTTATGCGTGTTCTGCTATGGAAGGCCCTCTTGGTAAAGCCGTGCTACTTCTGATATCTTTATCCAGGCAATTACAAGCCACCCTCATCCTTCAAAGTAATTCTATCTTCCTAAACAAGCAGCTGGAACACTCACATGCTTGACACGATTCCGGTGCGGTAGATGACATGGTCATCTCTGTTTTCTCGCAATTTGCATGCACGGATAGACCACCCTAGAGGAACACTGGACTATGTGCATGCTGCATGTTTCCGCTGCCGGGCCTGCTGCGCCAACTGGAAACCTCGTGTGCTGACAGCGAAGTATGGGTTGGGCAAAAGTGGGGAGCAGAGCTGTCTCTAGGCCACTAAGAACCGGTGTCGCGGCTGATATTTGTTGATATAACAGTGTAGCCCTTTGTCGGGGATCTGACGTTGGGGGATCCACGACGGCTACATGTCGTCCCGGGTGAGACCTTCCAACAAAGAGGAGTGTTGACTTTTGATACATGTCGGTCCTAAACTTTTTTATATCACAGGGCAAGGGCGATCAGTGTCCGAAATACCCGACGCCGAAAGCGTCTGCAGTGTTACATCATCTTCGAAGGGCAACCTAAACTCTACACTCTACACCCTTCAGTCATCTTCTCCGAGCCCAGTACTGAGGAGCCGCTCCAGGAAGAGATGCAGAAACTCGCCTGCCCGCTCCTTCGCCAGCCGCGCCTGTTCGCGCGATTGGTTGAAACTAGATGGCTCTGAGACTCGGGACATCATGAGCTTTTCGGGTCAGACGTCCAGGGCTTCGTGCCTTTTTAGGCCTCCCGCCTTGTCAGAACGAACCTGCTACGCAGGGAATACTTAGATGCAGCTTTTCTATTGCTAGACCGTTTGGTAGAAGCAACAAGCTGCTGACGAGTGCGATGTGTGATTACTTGGGTCTGCCTCAACATGCTTCAACAGACCCTGACAAACACAACAGATCTCCATGCTCAAGCTTTACACCACTGCGTCGCCGCGTGGCCCTCCTTACAGCTGTTCTGAGTTCTGCGTAGTGGCAAAGATCGTAATGGGTTATACTATAATCATGATAAGGAGCC